ACGCGCAGGGCCAATGGTGTTTGCTGGCTCCGCAGGCCGCGGGCTGTTAGCTGCCGATGCCCACGCCATGGCAATGGGCAGTGAGCGGCCCGCGCAAGCGCGTCAGCAGCGAGGGTCAAACACCGCCGCTGATGCGGCCGATTGTCTTCAGCATGCTGTTTTCAAGGGCTAGCGGCCTCGCTCTCCAAGTCCCAGACCCCCGCATCCCGCAAACGCACCCACCCCCTTGCGCTCTGCGCCCGCCACCACCACCCCACCCCTCCAGACGCCTTTGCCTACGGGGAGGTGCTGGGGCTGTCCTATCTATTCTACGAGGCCCAGCGCTCCGGGTGAGGCCGTAGGGCGGCGCATACATCAGGGGCTGCGCTGGCGGCAGGCCCTGGGCACGCCGCTGTGGGTGGTTTGGCCCATGCGCGAGCCACATGAACAGATTGTTAACGGCAAGGCGGCGGACCAGGCTCATGCGCGGAGCGATCGTCATGCTCGCGTTTCTCAGCACTGTGGCGTGCTGCAAAAATGCCAGTCGGCCGCGCAGGTGCAATCGCTCGACCCGCACCCCGACCGTGCGCTGCATTCGCGCGCAGCAAGCTGCCGGCTGACCAGCGCGTCAAGTGGCGGGGGGACTCTGCCCTGCAGGACCGCGGCCCCGAGGGCCAGGACCTGACCGGGGGTTACTACGATGCGGCGGACTACGTGAAGTTCCACATGCCCCTGGCCTTCACAGTCTCGTTGCTGGCGGTGGCAGTTATAGAGTTCCCAAAGGTGCGGGGAGGAGGAGGAAGGGACGGCGCGTTGCAAGATGCGCGCGATCTTGGCGGGCGGAGTGAGCTGATTTGGTTAGCAGGAAAGGGGGGAAGGGGGGGGGCGAAGGTTGCGGGAGGGCGCTGAAAGGACCCAGCAGGTGCATGAAGACAGCGTCAGCATGCCCAACCCCAGGAAAGTAAGCAGCGTGCGATGTCATTTTGTCCTTCGAGGGGACGTTCCAAACCCTGACTCGCGAGACTCTGCGACGCCTGGTGACCACGGCTGCCGCAGGGCGTGGCTGATTCGGGCCAGTCGCGGCAGGCGTACCAGGCGTTGCGGTGGGGCAGCGACTACCTGCTGAAGACTGTGCTGGGGGAGGACCGCATAGTGGGGCAGGTGCGTGGCTTGTGTTGTGGGTCTGTTGGGGGGATGTTGGGTTTTGGGTGGGGGGGGTCTTGACGACTTTCAGCGGGTATTGGTCGCTCGGAGGGCCTCGCATGTAGTGGCTGCTGTTGGGTTGAGGCACCGGCGGCGCGACGCGAGCGGCGCAGCTGGCGCTCCGTCCCGCACGTCGCGGTGGGTGTGAGGCGGGCGTGCCGTGTCTTCTAGGTTTGTTGGGCACTGCGCACCAAAGCACGGCGCTAAACCCTAATGCACGCTCAGGTGGGGGAGGGCAAAGTGGACCACAACCTCTGGCGCCGCGCTGAGGACGTCACCGAGAAGCGCCGCGTGTTTGTCTGCACACCAGACAAGCCCGGGTCGGACGTGGCCGCCGCCATGGCTGGCGCGCTGGCGGCGGCCGCGGTCGCGTTTCAGGGGCGGGACCCCGGCTACTCGAAGCAGTGCATAGCCAAAGCGCGGACGCTGTACGAGTGAGCCGCCACTGCGGTGGCGTAGGGGTTTGCCGCTCAAGGCCTTGCTGTGCTGAGGGTTGGGGGGTGCAGGCCGTACGAAGGGGTCGTCACGGCACTCCCACCCGCAAGGCAGGGGCTAGTCACAAGCACGCCCCTCAGGTTCCATGCCTCCCATGCCTCAAATGTATTTCAGCCGCCAACACGCATGCACACACAACAACAAGCAAGCGTGCTTTCTCACATGATGGGCCCCTCACTTCCCCCCCTGCTCCGCGCGCCCTTGCAAAGTAAGCCACCTCCACACCCGCCACCACCAGCACCCCGCAACCATCAACAGGCGAAGAACACCCTACCAACACCAACAACACACACCTCAACACGACTGATCACCCAGCACTGCACGCAAACCCACCACACGCACCATCCTGCCCTGCCCCTCCCCCCCCAGCTTTGCCAACAAGTTTCGCGGCTACTACCACGTCAAGTGCGTCCCGGACGCCGCCGACTTCTACAAGAGCAAGTCGTTCCACGACGACCTGGCCTGGGGGGCGCTGTGGCTCAAGAGGGCCACGGGGGAGGGGCGATACCTGGAAGACGCAAAGAGGTGAGAGGGTCGGGGTCCGGCGGGATGAGGGGGGGGAGGGGGTGCAACTAGTGTCCGTTAGTCTCGAGCAGCGCAAGAGTGTCTATGTGTGTGTCCTTGTGTGCGTTCATGTGTGTGTTTGTGTGTATGCGTGTGCGTGTGTGTGTGTTGTTTGTGTGTGTGTGTGTGTGTGTGTGCATGCGAGTGCATGTGTGTGGGCGTGTGAGCATACGCGCATGCCTGCGTGTGTGTGTGTGCGTGTGTGTGTGCGTGTGTGTGTGTGTGTGTGTGTGTGTGTGTGTGTGTGTGTGTGTGTGTG